ACTGAATAAGCTCTACGCCTACTATCGACCACTGTCAATCACCTTAAGAATCACTCGCTTTAATTTGTTAGACTCTTATTTTTGTTTTCAGTCATTGTTGAGGCTTCACAGAATGCTGAATTTATGAAACAAGTAGGTTCCACGAGCTCCATTCTATCCTACGTCAAGTAAAGTCAAGTGCTCATGTGTGAAGGAGAAATTGTGAGTTATGGGCCGTGGCTCTTATGGCCGTCTACGGGCCATTTGAGTGAGTTCAGAACCACCCTAGAATGCACAAGCTACTTATAACGTCGTGTTGCTTTCGCCTAGCTTTATATGTTAGCAATTTACGTGTGTACAGTGTACATATAAATTTGCATTTACTGACTTTCAGCTTAACTAGTGTTAAACTATCTTTTTTTTTTATGCGAAAAGTTGCCAAACGAGCAGACGGGTCACCTGATGTTAAGTGAATACCGCCGCCCATGGACATCTGCTACACCCGAAGGTTAGAGATGCGTTGACAACCTTTTGAAAATTGGGCTCCGGCTACCTCACTCACCAGGCGAAACGCGAAAGTATTTGTCCTACTTTCACTTTACGCTAGTCTTCTGTGAGGTCGTGGTACTTAACCGGACAGGCCTGCCCATTCGTGAAACAGCCGAGGCTGCTGCGTGGCTCTACCACCTAATGAAATATATCTATCTAATCTATCTTATGGGAGTCCATAAGGTATGAAACCATTAAATTTCTCGTTAACAGTATTTTTCGAAAAAATCAATTAAATGTTATTGGTATCAACAGCATTTTGTTTTATTAAAATTATATCGTATTTCTTGAATTATTCATAAGAGATGAAACTTGAAAGTAGAAACTTGAAAATTGGCTTAAGTTTAAGGCTAAATAATATCAGAAGTAATATAGAAAACATTATTGACAGGCTTTATTTGGATAAGATTTGAACTAAGTATTTCTTAACTCAGCCTTCAGGACTACTGTAGTTATAAATTTGGTCATGAATATTTCATAGCTATTGTTATTGACTACATTAATCAAAGGTCGTAAATAATAAAAGATGTCTCGACAACTATTAAAATTAACGTGGATTTTCAAATGTTAGTTTCCATGACAAGTACACTTTACAGCTAAACAAGCGAAGTTTTAGGTCTTATTTACATATAACATTAGATATAGACAAGGTTAACACTGAATAATTACTGGAGTATCAACTCCTTTCGAGTTTATTTAAAATGATTTAGTTGTAACATCATAAATCCATACATTTTAATTGAAAAATAATACAAGATAATACACACACTTATTTACTCTGATGAGTGGTAACCTTAGCGTACACGTTTAAGGGATGACATACAGAAGGCACTTATATATCCTTCAATTTATCAAATCCATCAAATACTACTAGGCGAGCATCTGTACGACAGTGGATTGCCATAGGATTTCGTATTAATTTAAATCGGTCAAGAATAATATTATTAGTATTAAAGCTTTTTTAATTTCAATAGAGCAAGAACTGTCGATAACATTTCTCAAAACCATAATGCAAAAATTAATACAATTACCCTTGTTTAGCCTATATTAATTCATAACACGCTCTTTATTTAAATTCAGCTCACAGCGGGGATATTTCGATAAGCATTAATAATGTTTATTTAAGAGCTTATCTGTGAATGTTTTATGTATTTATGATGTAAGAAAAACTGTGATTATTTTATATATAAGGAAAACGGAAAAAGTCTGTCGTGTCTGAGGTTTCTTTTACTTGCGTTACATTATGTTTACATGTTATAATATATTTTGTTTTATGTTATATGTTTACATTATGATTTTTATAATAGCGAGACACTATGATTTAGTATGGTATTTTAAACTAAATTCTATTTGATTTTTACTTAAATACTGTTTCATATTCAGTATTTTTATCGGGTACGAGCTTCGCTCGCGTTGAAACCCTTAATATATTTCTTTAAAAATATATATAAATTTTTAAAGAAAGATATTTTCAACCCTTTACAACACTTTTTTCCAATTAAAAAAAGGACATAGGCTCTATGTCCTTTCTCAAGCTCTAGACTTTTTGTGTACCAAATTTCATTTAAAATGGTTCAGTAGTTTTGACGTGAAAGCGAGACAGACAGACGGAGTTACTTTCGCATTTATAATATTAGTATGGATTTATGCATCTCAAGCTTCAATGTAATGCAAATAGCTTAACGGGCTTTAACTTTCCCAGTGCTTATTTTTTTGAACATTTTAAAAGATAAATAAAAAGTTATCCGTCTTCCCATTAAATTTTAATGTAAATAAAATATTTTATTCTAACCCATAATGACTGTTATTGAATTGTTGGTCACAAGTACCCAAATCTCAAAGACTACTTTTGGGTACTAAAACTCTTTGGTACCGGGTAAAAAAAACATTTCTTACTCCAATTAAAAAATCCGAATGAGTAACTCTAAAATTAAAAATTCAATAAAAAAAAATTGTAAAATGAGTATACTTAAATAAAGTCTAATGTAAACATAACACTTAACTTCCGTTTTCTGGATTTATCACTAGAAACCCTTGTAAAACATGTTCTTGCTTTGGTTGTGTACATTTTTTTATGATTTTGCAATAACATATCTTTTTACGCAGAAAAATCGAATTGTCGAGTCGTTTCTGAATCATTATTGGTATATGTTTTGAACGGCCTTTTTAGCATAGCGTGTAGTTTAACTTTATATTCAGTAGTTATTGCTGTTGAATAGTTAGCTTAGTGAAGGAATAAATCAATCTTTTTTATCGACAAAGCTGCCCTGACAGTTAACGCCCTAGGGTGCTCAAGACAGAGAATTTATCGGTGTCGATACGTATGGCGTCTTTGCCAATCGCGCAAGCCATAAAATGTCGCCTTCGGAAAGTTGCCATTATAACTATAGATCATGCCTACACAAACATACTCGACTAATAGCTCATAAACCGTAGCTTTATAGTCCTCCTTGTTTCCGAAAAGAACTGATGAAGATTAGAAAATAACGCCTTATGCAGAAGTAGTATACAATTGTATATAAAAATACACTTAGCTCTAAGGTCTCACTGACATTACCATTACAAGACTCCAACATCATGAAAGATGGATTCGTGGCTCTATTAAAGTAGAGTCTGTTCTGCGAAGTGACTGCACCGATGCCACTCCTTACTTCAAAATGTCCCTGACATGCCCTATTGGCGACAGATCTTCGATCTTGCTAATCATCTACACGCACCATCATTATCTTCTTTCACATCACCATACCGAGTTCACTGAGCGTTGTCTTGAAGAATTAGAACTTCCCTTATTCAACAGTGTCCAGTTAGTGTACAATTTTCGATGAAGATTAATCGTACGATTCAAGGAATTTTATCCTCGGCCAAATTATAACTCCATGACGGTGTCATGACTCTACAACTGAGCAGAAGTGTCTTTTTTATGATGATATAGAATTGCTTAAGTATATTGACAGCGAGAATTCTCTTCATCATCCATAAACTAATTCGAAATTCGAAAGTAATTTTTTAAAAAGAAAGTTATTAAAAATTTGAATTTTTAAAATTATATATTTTTTAAAACTGCTTAGTATTCATATGATTCAGACCTGGTTTCCTGTTATATATTTATCAAGAGGAAAATAAAATAAAACCAACTATTTCATTTTTTCAATTGAGTTTAATATATAATTGTAGAGAAAAAGAAGATAGAGACTACGAGCAATAGAAAAATTTAAATGTTTATTTCTGACATATGAGCTCCTAATTCATAAACATTTATAGCATTTGTCAGTTCTCATATTGAAAGTGAAATATTTCCGCATCCGCAGTGGAGGTTACGGTAAGCATTAATCACCGTTCGATGCCCATTTAAAACGCCTAAAGTACTCCTCACATTTTCTGAAAGTGTTAGCCATCCACGCGACCACGTTTCGAATTTGATAAAGTGCGTAACATTTCATATTGATACTTGTAAAGGTAAATGTATCTTTCACGTTTTGATGTGTCATTCAATACTTGCACGTAAAATCATGGGTAAATGTCGTAGAGCCTATTTATAACGTGGGATTGTTAAAAACTAGAACGAACGATTTTACTAGATTATTAAGTTTTGCTTTCATGAATGCATCGCCACTTGCAATTATTAATCTATGCATGCTTTATTTTAATATTTGATACAACAACGGGAATCGTGCGTAGAAATGGTTAGAGCCTGTACAAGCATCAATTATTGGTGGGCTGAATAATTAACTCTGGTACTTTGTCATTACACTAGAAATAATATATAATATTAACAAATGTTGCCAGGTGAAGTGTTTGCTGTGAAAAATGTAAGGAAGATCGCTATAGAAAAAATTAAAATTTGCAAGAATTCTAAGCATATAAGTTGTGTTACCTAGAGCCAAAATCAATCATTTAATTATCAGCCATCTTAACGTAAGATGGTTTGCAGTTATTAGTTACAAAGTTAAGTAAATCATCAACTTCAACAGCGTTTCGTAATTTTTCACGAAAAAAATAAAAAGCCCTGTGAATGACGGTAGGTAGAGCATTTCAATAAGCTACTTGTTTCGTTAAGTGCTACGCTGCTAGTATAAAACGTGTGGTTTATTATTATTGCGCGTCCATTTAGCTACAAGTTAAAGAACAAATACGGGCTTCATTTTAATCCATGATGTTTTACTGTACCGTTTTCATCTGTTGAGCCCCGCTAGTAAAAGTTTATTAGATAAATGTCAATGTGATTTTTTGTATATTTTCAATGAATATCACAAAGGATATTTAGTTAAAAAGATCAAATAACGTTAAGTGTATTGTATATTTTCGACAAATCAGGTTGTTTTCAAATTTAAATTTATATAATTTTCTGATTTTATTATTCAATATATATTTTATTTACTTATATTTAAATACAATTCATAAAAAATTTATAATTTAGTTGCACGAATCGTACGAATCGTATTATTGTGTTTCTGTCCATAAATTTAAATTCACACGCGGCAACTCGTCACAACGCACCAATGGGTTTCTGTAAAGATTTTATACGCTATTAATAAAAAAATTACAATACATAGCGATATTGCTTTGTCAATCAAGCCAATGGTATTTATTATCTTACAAAAAATTGAATCTTAAGAGCTCTGGTTAAATAACAAAAGCGTACATCGAATAAATTTTAATGCGTTCAGACTCTTGCCACAAGTCTTATGAGTTTTTTAATAATATTTTTTTTTTCATTTCAGAAGGTGGCAAGTGAGCTGGCGATTCACCTGTTGTTAAGTGTTCACCGCTGCCTATTGACATCTGCAATCACGTTAATTTCTAAATTGGGCGCCGGCTATCTCACTCACCAGAAGAAACAAAGAAGTGTAGTATAATATTTCATTTATACCTACAAGTATCGTTTATCCAGTTTCCATTTCTTTAATGAACGCAATCATAACTCAAAACTTTGTGAAAGTTAATGGCACTAAAGACGTAATCTATCATAAAACCCTAACAGGAATTAAATATAACGTAACTGGCTAAAAGTTGTTATTGGTTGCCATCTTAATCGCAAATTTGGTCGCTTTGCAAACAAATTCGTTATGTCGGTGTCGGTGTGCGCGCACCTCGTAAAAAGTTTCCTCTTATAATTTTTTCCAAAAGCACTAAAAGAAGTATAGCTTCATAAATTTTTATACTTACGTACTGCTTATACTTACGTAGAGTGAAAGCTATGTCCTCGTCGATTCCATTTTCAAAAAAGTATCGGTCACTAATACGAGTTGTAAGAAACTGTTCAAGTATTATACAAAGAAAAGTTGGGCCAACCAGAGCGCCTGGAGCATGGAATTCAAGTGATCCACCCACAACAAGGTCGATGTCCTCGACTGATTTGTACAGTGATTTCAATGTTTTCACGTTCTGTCAATCAATATCCAAAATGTTATTTTTAGGTAATACGGAAGCTTTATTCTTCCGTTATCGAAGGTAAAATTCAGGAGCGGTTTACGATACGGGGTCATTTCGATTTCAACTACGATATTTGTCGGAATAACATAACGATTCGTATTGCTTAATATAACCCATCTCAATATTTTATAGTTAACGCTATTTTGTAGAAATGTGAACTAATATCAGAGTACCTATATCTTACAGAAGTAAAATTACCTATATCGGGCCAGCCTCAACAGTAGACTTCTTAAAAGTTATTCTTTTGTGTATAAAAATAATAGTATCTAAAACTCTTGTGGCTGCAGTTTGATTTTTTTTAATCAATTGAACATCTTAAATGAAACCCGTTTACGGATTTTATCGCGTTTGCATTTTTATTTTTAACGTTTCGAATCCTTTCCCGCGTTCATGGTCACGGGAGAGACTGAAGTCTGAATCGTAAACTAGTTTTATTTAATACGTATAATATTCGCATAAAATTAACTTGAACGTCTTCAAATTGAACATCGTTTAATTTAGGAATTTATGTCTCCGGTGAAAGGGCTTGTTTGTTCTTTAATAGAATCACGCGTGTGAACACGCGATTATTTTTTTTTTGTTGATTGGAGGGTGTCAGTTGTAAGTCTGACGTATGTTTACGTTATCATTTCGCCATTCTATTCTTTTTTATTTTTCAGACCTTGACAGTCAGAACTAATTGATGGGTCTTGAATTAGATCAAATTGAGATATGTGCTACAAACTGGCCAAAAATATAATTCCTTGTTTTATTTTTAGATAGTAGTTCTATGAAAAGTTTTAATAATTTGTACATAAATATTTTCTGTATAAAACTAACTACACACGAATAATAATTGGTGTCACCTTGATAACAAAATGTTTTAAAGTGTTAATATTAAGAAATAAAGTTTATTATTTACTCAGGTGAGTGAAAAATTTTCCACTTCAACTACTTTCCATTACTTCAATGTTATAGGTACTTAAGGACTTATGAAAACTAATGATAAAATGTGCACCACCTCACTTGACATGTAGTCCTTTAAATCTTTAAAGGTTTTGGGGACAGGCAAATCGCAGTAATCACGCAGCTGTGTGTACGTGCCCAAGCCGTGATCACGACCACGTTGGATGTCAGTGGCACGTAAATCACCCCCTACTGAACCGTTGCCCCTACGAAAAGAAGGAAGAACGTTTCAATTTTAACTGTCTTTGCAGCTGTGGCTTTTTTTTTTCACTTTGCCCTCACTTTAGGATGACATTATCCTGTGCTGTAAGGAAGTTTGAGAAACATAAATTGCACGAGGACAAACACCCAGATGCGAAACAACTATCAGTGGGTAGCACAAAAAGTTGTCCCGTGTGGGAATCGAACCCACGACTACCGACGCCGAAGCCGATACCTTGGCGACTGCGCCACGTTCATCATCTGTTGGAGATTTCAAGTTCCAGTGTTCAAAGGCATAGTTTTTACTCTCCTCTTCCGTACGTTTTATTACTTGCTCACGGTTCCTATGACCCTCAATACACACATGTATGTTTGGAAGATATAATTCTATCTATATTTAGGTGAAATTATACATGTAAGACAAAAAAATATTATTTTACATAAAATTGTTTGTTCAAATTTTTATTTGTTTTAGGTTTTTCGTTTAAAAAAAAATAAGAAAAAAAAATACGCAGATCTTGCGTCTTACAGTATAAAAAATAGAATCCCGCCTAAAGTAATTAAATCCATGCATTCAACCGAATAAAAGTCCGAAGTAAAAACTTCCAGGCGCTACATTAAAGCTAAGCGGCCTGTGCATTAACGGCGACATCTATCAACTTTTATTGTTATTTTACAAAGAGCTCTCGCTTCGAACACCACATTTATTTCAAATCAAATAATTTATTCATCGAAATAAGAAATATACATTTCATCTCGTTATCGATAGTCATTTTTTTAAATTCACCGCCGTTTCGTAATGAAGTTACTCTAACGAAGAAACAGGCTTTTTTGACGATTTTTTCTCAAACAAATACCTTGTTATACAAATTTAATTTTTTTATAGTGGTAATCTTTGCACTTAAGAATAAACATAATATTTAACAAAAAAAAGCAATGGCGACATTTCTCGTACGAATTATCGTAGTAAAGCGATATTCGAATTTTTTTGTATGCTGGAAACGATATGATATAACAACGGATGCGTCAAGCATTGCTTCAAATGCTAAAAAACAATGTAGATAAAAGTCGTTACGACTTTCGTCACTATGGCAATCGGCCGTTTAGCTTAGTGGCTGAAGCGTCAGGCCGCGATTGCCGAAGACGTGGGTTCGATTTCCACAGCGACGACAATCTTTTCGTCCTTTTTCTACAAATTTTAACATTGTTATACTGTACATATTTTTTTAGAAACAGCTTAGGAGCGTTCATCTCATTCCCAGGGGTTATTATCGTTAATGTATTCATTTATACTATAATAACCCTTTTTCTTTAATAAATTTCTTAAACCTGTTAATAGATAGGTTTTGCACATTTTGTTTTTTTTGTATTAACTTTTGGATTTTGTTTAATTAACATTAATTGTTTAATTAACACTGGGATTTTGTTGTAGAAGCCTGTACACCGTCCCTTGAACGAGTTACTCTGTGGAGTCTAGAACTGGCGTTACAAGCTTGTGTTTGTTCCTAGTGTTGACATTATGTACATCAGTATTCTTATCTAAATTATTAATGTTTCTGTGTACATATATACATTACATTTTCACAAATATATTGAGAGGCCAAAGTTAAAATATTTATTTCTTTAAATCTCTTAGAGATGCATTCAAAGTTAGATTGTAAATTGCTTTTATGGACCTTTTTTGTAATATGTCATTTTAAAAACTAATCAATTGCTAATTGTTGTTGTGGTTACACTTGCCGTTTGCAGATTTATTAACATAGATTTATAGACATCATAGATTAATAGGCATTAACATTAATAATATATAAGTGTTGTATATTTAGCAATAATTACTTTAAAAAAGTTTTATGTTAATATTTAAATGAATGTTATTGAGCTCACCTAAAAAGATACCTAGTAATTTCTAAATCCCAGTATTGGTCGCTTTTATCCGCTGGCTGATATGTTAGTCCACGGGTTAAACCGTCAAAGTTGCTGCCTTTTTCAATTAAAGACGGCTTATTAAACCAGTCACTTAAACGTATTCTATAAGATAGTTCTCTGTTCTCAGTTATCAGACTGAAACGAAAAATAAATTTCAATGCAAAAAAATCATATTTGTGGAACTAAAACCTAAGAAATGTTTTTGTCTCACTCCAAATATCCACGAATTAACGTGTGGAAATGCCTGAAAGCGGCCGAGGCGTGTTCTTTATAGACAGCCGGATTCACGGAGGAGTCGTAATCATTCACGTATGTATCTATATTCGGGTAAATTAGTTTTTTCTCAATCATGTTATTTTCACCTGGAAGAAATCACCGTTGCAACCAAAACAATTAACAAATCTATTACTAATAACTCGTGCAAAATGTTTATATATGCAATAAAATAATAACAAATAAATTTCAGGAAACATTTTTACACAACTTTATCTAGTCCCTAACTAAGCAGCGCTTGTATATAACTGGGTACGAGATAACTGATAAACATACTTAAACATACTTTTTTCGTATATAAGTATATTTTATAAATATATAAACATCCATACGCTGGAAAAATACTAGTACATCACACAATATTTTTCCAGTAGCGTGAATCGAACCCACATCTTCTAGCGTATGAGGCAGGTACACTACTAATCGGGTCGATAAAATCAATAAGTAATTTTTCAAAGAAAGATTTTTTTATGAAACTTTATTCTATTTGTCTTATTAGTTATTCTATGTTTCGTCGAAAGCAGTCTTTAAAATGTTGATTCAATCAAAATTTAATGAAGAATAATTATGAAAGTTACGGCGACAAAAAAACACCTTTGAGAAATAATTTATAGAGATTCGCATTATCAACCATTAGTACTTTTCGTCCTAAATATCTTCTGGATAACCAGCAAATTTTTATGAATTTTAAATTCAAATAATTTTCACTCTTAAATTATACCATTTACACAAAAACGTTAGAGGAAACTTACCTAGAAGCACTTTTAGATATTCGTAGTAGTTTATGTATTGCATTTCGGCAATTAAAATTCGCCGTGCCTCTTGAAATATGGTCTCGTCATTCCAATGTGGATTCAACACGGCTAATTCATCAGCCACACGGTTGTGTTCTTTGAGAAGTATTATGTGTAATACAGTCAGTTGTGGAGTCTGATTGCCTCTTGAGTCACCTTAGTTGAAAACGCATGTTCTTGCATTAAATATTTAATGTGTGCCCACGTTTCAACAGAGAACCTTAGATCAGTGGGGTCCCAGCATATTGAAATTTTGAAACGTTATAACGACTTATCGTTGCGTCTGGTAACAAGAGGGCTACTTCTTTTCTAGCTCAAAGATTATACAGCAATCCTGGATGGCATCCAGCATAACTATTCAGAGAGGAAATGAAGCTAACGTTCTTGGCCGCGTAGACTGCGTTTGCTAAATAACATGTACCTAATTTAGTTGGTATTTAATTTTTTTTTAATTTTAATTCGACCGTATATTTTTTTATGTGTGTTCGCGGATAACTTCGTCGTTTATGAACCGATTTGATAATTATTTTTTTTGTGGGAAAGGAGATATCTTAAGGGTGGTACCATGATAAGGAAACTCAAATGTTATAGGTATTGACAATGTTTTTTAGTTTCCGGTTTGAAGTCGGTTTTTTTTGTTAAAAATTATTACTTGTATGAATATAAAAATATTATTCATTTAGATAATATTAATTATTCAGTAATATTGATATATATAATGTGAATATATAAGAGCCGTGATAGCTCAGTGTCCGAGCGCTCGCCTTTAATTACATTTACTCGAGCAACCTGAGTTCGATCCCCGGTGCCAGCACCAATGAAATTGTTAATTTTAAGTGCTTAATTATCACGTGCTCGGCGGTGAAGTAAAACATCGTGAGGAAACCTGCATATTTTCGAAATAATAATAAAAAAAATATATTTCGAAAAATGTGAAGTCCGCCAATCCGCTGTGGGGTCGCGTGGTGGACTATGCCCTGATAACCTCTTTACATAGGAGGCTTTTGCCCAGCAGTGGGACATTTATAGACTGTTACTTGAATAGGTAAATAACTGAATAGTTATAACAGAATATGTACTTGATAATCATTAAACGGATATCAATACGTATTCATTCTCAATACGAGTGTTAATATACATTACAATACAATTACGAATGCTTATTATAATGATAATAGTGAAGTACTTATTTCATACACTTGTTTAAACGTTTTGTAGAAGGTTAACTTTTATTATCATAATATATACCCTTGAATATAGTCAATGATACGCATTATGATAAACGTAGCTTACCATGACCATACTGTTTTCAATTGCGTTAGTTTTCTGAAATAGTTTCGAAAATGTAATTTAGAAGTATTATTCAATTTTCAAGTCACTTGCGAATATTTACCTAAGCCGTAACATGTTTCGTTGGATGAGTCTGGGGCATGGCAAACTTTTTTCGCGTCGTCCGCTTGTGGAGGCCACTCATGTCCGTTTCGCACCGTAGTCAAAAGGCGACCTCTATTGCCCTCTCTTAGTGAAATCGCTTGGGCCTCACTATTACCATACGTTAAGGATAGATCCATATAAGGTGTCACTACGGATAACTAAAAAATAAAGTACAATATATTCTAACGGGAAACAAATTTTCTCTAATTAAAAAATAATGCTTAGTGCCAAAACAAACATATAAAAAGATTCATTAAAGCCCATTAAATTGTTTGTTAAAAAGCATGCTATTGGTTCCTAAACAAACATCCATTCTTTGTGTATTTCTTGCAGATCATTAATCATTTGAACATACAATCGTTGATGATAGTAATTTAAGGATTTTATTTTACGTAGTAGTATGTACTTATTAATGTAAAGGTTATTAAAAAATAACTTACTGGAATAGCTGGTACATTGCGCTTCGTGCATCCTTTGTCTTTGGTAGATATCGTTCTTATAAAGTTCATACATTCCCAACCTTTCGATTTATGTACTGTGTCCATATCTGGGACACCAATAGGATGACAGAGTGGATTTACATTAACATCTGGAGCTAATTGGCCGTTCAAGTTACAACATACGGGAGAGCTCATATCTGTCATAAAATTGTACCAGATCGATCATTTTGCATTTATATTTTGCACTTAGTCTTTAGTGATATTAATTGATGTATGTATTTTGACGTAGAAGTTCAAGTACTAAAAATTGAGGGCTCGCCTTAACATTAGTATCCAAACTTAAGTTATAGGCATTTTGTGTATAGATTTTTCAGGTAATTTTAACAATATTTGATTGTTAAATATTGTTAAAATGACCTGAATAATTTTTCATTTCAAATTACAAGTTTCTTTTTTCATAATAACAATTACAAATATACAACATGTAGAAACAAATTTAAAAGATAATTTAGACCTTTGTTATTGTACTAGCTAAAAGTGTTAGTTAACAATAAAATTAGAAAACAAGAAAAACGTTTTAGTGGATGGTAAACAAAATACACAAAACGATATTTTCATGTCTCGATGTCTTTCGACTCTCCCCGTCTCTCTAGTTGTTTAAATAGTTGCCTTTATCTCATGAGACCACGTTATGATAAAAATGCTTAATGCTTCTTCAATAAAGTCTATTGTTCTAAAATAAAAAAATAGAATACAATCTGTCTCTCTAGATGGTTGCATCAAAAGTAAATCTAGATGTTTGCATCTAGAGCTGATCTAACCGTTTTTTTAAATTGTGATTTTAAAATGAGAATATGTTAACTATTTTGAAATGAGAAATTGTTATTATGACATGAAAAATTGTTATTTTAAAATGAAAAACCAGAAAAAACTATTTATGAATGTAATATTTAAATACTCAAATAACATATAATTTGATATGATTTTCAGCACCGTGTTGATGAAAATATTAAAAGTTCTAAATAATAATATTTTTTTAATACCTTGTAAAAATCAGATATGACGAATCTTTTCATTGGCAAATTGAGAATAATAACTTTTACATGATATTTATTATATACACACGATTACTACACGTTACTAAATGAAACTATTTTACGTCTCTCTCGTGGCCATGAAGCTGTACAGTGTTGAATAAAAAGGTCGTCCCGCTGTCTGTCTGTCCTGTCTGCTTAGATCTTAAAAAACTACGGATCTTGATGCGGTTTTTTTTACTAGATAGAGTGATTCAAAAGGGATGTTTATATGTATTTATACATTGCCCCCGTGCGAAGCCGGCGCGGATTAGTTAACATTAATTGCGATATATCCATAAAAATAGTTTCATTTATTGAAATGATTTTTTTTCTAACACTAATTATATGCGTATAAATAAATTTTGTTACTTGATGTTTGAATATATTTGTGAATACGCTATGGAGTACGGACCAGCCTTACAACTCTCTACATTTGCGTTCTCTAAAGGCTAAATGTATACGTCTATGAATTAAAAATGAGATAAAATGAATGAATATACTGAGATAATATGAGAATGTGACGTGAAATCGAAAACTGTATTCTCGCTCGGAAGATCGCAGATACGGTAAAAAAATATAAATGTAGGCTTTGAAGCCTACGTTTTTTACGTTTTTGGCTACTTAATTTGGTGGTGTAAAGACGAATATCAGTGAATATGGATTCAATCAGCTGCGGTGAGGTGCGTTGTCTCTACTGTGGCAGGGCCGGGCAAGTGCTTCCACAATTCCATGAATTGACACAACGGTCCGGGAAATGAGAATGTGGCAAGTGTGCAAAGACTGCGGCGTGGTCCTACCACAGTCATACTTGGTGAATGAGGTAGCCTGGGTTTAAACATTTCAGTCTTGCTACTTGCAATCTCCACGGTGATATCCACAGGAATTTTTTTTGTAAATAATTCAAAATAATATTATTTGATTTACTCACTCGTTTCTGTAACTCCCGCAGCCAAAGACATATCGTGTGTTACTATCTGACCCCATTGTTGTGTATTCAAGTTGAACTTTTTTTCGACTTTGTGTTTAAATTCGAATATTTTTAAACTGATCTTGCGAGCATTTGGTAATGGCGTACCATCCGATGCAGTGGGCCATGAATTTACACCTACGACAAAATGTCATTAAATAAATGTTCATTAAATTATCTTAATTTTTGTCTTTTTCGTATATTATTACACATAATTATGCTATTAAACCATTTCACCCGACCCGATAACATTGTATACTAATTAAGTCGCCTTAAGCATTATCGAAAATATATTTAATGGGCTTCGGCGCTGAGGATCGTGCATTTGTTTTCCCAAGTGATAAGCATTTGTATGATTTCAATTAAATAATACAGATTTGGGTTAATGTATCTGCGCTAGTGCGCTATAGTACCTAAGCAATTCAGAGTAACATAAGAGTAGAAGTATCTTTCTTATAAAACGAAGTCTATTTTTCGTAAATTAGATGAAGTGGTCTATAGGCGACGTCACATATACCGACTCTATTACTTTTGGGTTCATTATGCGTAGCGTTTCTTGATCTTTTCCCATGAGGATTAAGGGTGTAAGAACCTTATTAGCGATGTAAATACAAAACGCTTTATATTAGCAACGTACCGTCGTCATAGTTGTTCTGTACCAAATCACCGTACGGTGACAGTGGAGTACCCCAGCCCGGATTGTCCAGATTATTGCATGATCCATCATATGACCGATAGCGTGCATAATTAGGACAAACAGATGGAGCTAAGCCGCAAATTGGTTTAGCAAATTTCTTGTTGCCATTGGTCATAGAATCGACATTGCTAAAATTAGACAGGAGATTAATTTATATCCAATCTTTTCAATCCTCCAGGTGACCCATGTCGCTCAGTGTGCGCTCACTTTTAACTCAATATACTCGAGCAACTTAAGTGCCAGCACCAATGAAATTGTTAATTTTATGTGCTGACTTAATGACGTGCTCAAAGTTGTAGGATAACATCGTGACGAAACCTGCATATTTTCAATATAATAACAAAAAAAAAAAATATTTCGAAGATATGTGAAGTTCGCCAATCCGCAGTGGGGCCGGGTGGTGGACTATGCCCTGATACCCTCTGTAAAAGAGGAGGCCTTTGCCAGGCATAGGCTGTTACTTAAATGTATGACATGGCTAATGGAAAAAAAATCATGTCATTCAAAAGTTTTTACCCAGCTAAAATGTGTAAAAAAACAAACAATATTATTAATATGCGTGATTTACATCTCGTAATATTCCTCGTAACGGCATCCACCCGATTGATGAAGAGGAATGTATTATTCACTGGTGGAAGACACCCACTTTATGAAAAGGTGGAAACGCATCTGCAACTTTACGGGTGTTGCAAATGTCCATGACCGGTGGCTATCGCTTAATATGAGGTGAACCGCCAGGTCGCTTGCCGCTTTCTTACATAAAAGTACAAGTAAGTTACTTACAACTCACAGTAGCTTATCCTTGTCTATGAGCAAGCCACAAAACTAACATACCGCGTACATAAGGTATGCCGATGTCCGCATACCGAACCACTTTGAATACGGAGCATTGATGAATTATGTTATGAGTTTAATACACATAACATAAATCATCAACAACATAATATATAATTTATTTACCGTAATCAATAGCTATTAAGATATTTAAAAGCCTCACCAGTGTTTGGCGGCAAGCACTTGGCTGCAATGTGTTATTAACATAAACAATTGTATTAGTGCAAATACACAAATAAATCGATGCATCATTCTTTCTGAAATTAAAATAAGGAATTATAGTTTTTTATTATTTTCTGTGCTTGATTTTTAGTAATTAAACTACTGGTATGGTATAACATATTATTATCTTATGTTGAATTAATAATTATGATGAACTATACATGTGATTCGTTAAGCCACAAATATGCCTTTATGTTAAACTGTGCCTATAGGTAAAATTAGAATAAAAGTAAAAAATAGAAAGTTCTACTAAAGTTTAAAAACAGTAGTAAAATTTAAGTTTCCGCTAAATTACCGATCCAATTTTTGTTGTTTATGGATCACTTTCTGATTACAAAATCATAGAAATTTCCGGTGGAGTATGTACTTTAGGGCAAAAGACGGCAAATTTGTTTCCTATATAAACTTTTTAGTAAAACTTACCGCTTACGATTTATGGCTCATTACTGAACAGCTTTATCTATGGGGCTAATAACTCGTATAATGTTAGCTAGACCAATAAAATGTGGCTCAAACAGTATATTAGAAAAATAATTCAAGTAAAAGCTGTGGACAATAGATTGCTCTTTAAAAATGAATAGATGTATTTTATTGAATAAAACTACAGAAATAGAAAATTAAAATTTAATTGTTAATTTAGTGAGACTGACTGAAGAAACGTCTATTTTATTTACTAACTAAGACAAGACTAACGTAGATCCTTTCAACTAATAAATTAACTTTAGTAAAGCTTAAAATTCTTTTGAGAACAAATAAATATTTCTGTATCATATTTCTATAAAGGACTAAACGGACTAAAAATATTAATATGATTCTATTAAAATATGTAGAAAAAGTGCGAAAAGATTGTCGCCGCTGTGGGAATCGAACCCACGTCTTCGGCATTCGCGGCCTGACGCTCTAGCCACTGAGCTAAACGGCTGATTACCACACCGATGAAAATCTTAACGCATTCTTCCACATTGTTTTCTTAGCATTTGAAGCAATGCTTGGCGCCATCTATTGTTATATCCTTTCCAGCATACAAACAACTTCGAATATCGTTTTACAACGATAATTCGAAGAGAGATGTCGCCATTGCTTTTTTAGAAATTTAAATTGTTTATAGTGCTAATCTTTGCACTTAAGATTGAACATTAAAATATGTAGAAAAAGTGCGAAAAGATTTTCGTCGGTGTGGTAATCAGCCGTTTAGCTCAGTGGCTAGAGCGTCAGGCCGCGAATGCCGAAGACGTGGGTTCGATTCCCACAGCGGCGACAATCTTTTCGCACTTTTTCTACATATTTTAATGTTCAATCTTAAGTGCAAAGATTAGCACTATAAACAATTTAAATTTCTAAATATGATTCTATGATAATAATTTATGGTTATCATAAAAATTGAAATATACTATAATTCTAACCGATTATAAGAAAATATTACTTATTGTTTGTCTTTAATAATTTCTAGCCTTAGATGGTGTTATTTAAATGAAAGCGTTAGGAACTTCATCCACTGTATATACTGTGTTAGATAATTTAAAGTATGTACTTACCGATATATATTGTTTTGTTTATTTTTCTTTTTTTTAAACATTGTCCTTACTGTAGGATAACACTATCCTGTGTTGTAAGGAGGTTTGACAAACATAAATTTCACACGGACAAACACCCAGATGCGAAACAACTATCTGTGGTTCATACAAATAGTTGTCCCGTGTGGGAATTGAACCCACGACCCCCGACGCCGAAGCCGATACCTTGGCGTCTGCGCCACGGAGTCATCAAATATAACTAATGAACAGGAACTTCATAGTACATTTGAGACACTGTAGATTTAGTATATTTATTGGATATGTTTATTTAAAGTCATACCAATTGAAGAGTTTTAAAGATGTATTTACTAAAAATGTAAAACACAATGGAAAAAATATTCATGATTTAAACTCCCAAATAAACATCTCATAGCGAATATAAGTCGTAAGCTGATAGGATATTTTAGAATTACTGTTTATTCCATGAACGTCTTAGATTATTACATAGTGTGTTATTTCACCTTAAATTTAATTTCCGTTACGTATTTATTGAATAATGATATAGAAAATATATATTTATCGTTTTTTTACAATAGCTTAGCACAATATTTCACAATATTGAAGATTCATTTCTCTAAGGCTGACACTTATAATATATTGTAAATTTATGTATTAAAAAAGTTTATTTTGTAACCCCATAAGAACGGCAAGGAAAATTGGTTTATGGAATTTTAGAATACTATATATTCTCTACTATGCGTCAAGGAAATACTGCTATGCTATTATCAAACTATATAGAAATTAAATATAAAATTGCGAAACACTTACCGTTGTTACACTTATAACACTAGAAACTTAATAAGAGGAAATTAAAATGTAAGCGGCTGGAACTAATTCATCTAGTGAGTTACGTTTACGCGTTCGCAATCAATTCTTTTATTTTGAACAAAAACATTCTGTTTACACAAGTGGAGAATAATTTAGTTTGCGTAATTTGACGGCGATACTAAAAGGCTTATCTTTACTGGTTTAATTTAATTTTATTTTAATAATAAAATTAAATAATAATAATTTAATATAAATAATTTGATATAAATTAAGTTGATAACGTAATCTGTTGGTAAATTACAACTTATTGTGTCTTACAAATAAATGTAAGTAAAACAATTAAATTAGCATAATGTTAATTGTTTCAATCTTGTTCGTTTCACAAAAAGCAATAATCAAATTGTCTAGAGAGAAATCGAAGGAGAGTACCTTGACGACTTATAAATTCTTCGGATCTATACTTGCTTTTCCATCACAAAAAGCTACATCGTATCTACTGTTTTTGAGGGCACTTTCTTTGTTGCCATAGACTCGACTGGAGTTCTTGGCGTTGACATATAGAGTAGCGTTCAAATACGTCGTCCCATTGCCAGCAAATTTACAAAGTGAAAAATTCGGCCACACATCGAGTACTGTTCTCATTTTTGGGCTAGGACGCCTCAATACTGCCTCTTTCCAATAGACCGCAGCCAACGTAGGGCTGCTCGAATCGTCAGCGACCAAGATCTTTCCAATCGTCTTCACTATTTGGCCTTATGAAAAGATATTTCATCTTTGTGTATTTTATCGAATCTATCACGGGGAATGCTCTGAGGAGTCGGGATTAATACTTGTTGCTGAATTTCGTCACTGTGTATTAAACTGTCTGTCAACTGAATTTTGTCAAACTGTCAAATACCTTCGCTACCATCTCGATGGTTGACAGAGCACGCCGTGATGTTCACGTATCTTTCTGCCACGCACAACCAAGTTGTGGATGAGTCGTCCCGAGCGGCATTTCCATACCGATACGCTTTGCTCACGCATTCCTCGCTTGTATAAGTTGCAAATAGTACAAAATAAGGTCATCCGCCGCGCAAACGGTGCACAGTGGTATCAACGCAACGTCGACCTGCATAGCGATTGCAGACTCCCGACGATTCGCGAATAATTTAAAGACCTGACCAAACGGTTCTTTGTTAGAGCCGAACATCATCCCAACCCTCTGGTGGTAAGCGCAGCAAATTACCAACCCGACACAAACGCGAACGTCTACAAGCGTCGCCCGCAAAACTTCCTCATCGACCCGGTCGAGGAAGGGGACTTAGATACGCCGGACCCACCGCCGGGGGTCCCGCCGGATAACACTACACCCACAGTTAGTGCAATATCAAACATACTAGTTCGCCCTCACCTCCGAGCACGGCGAGACCAACACAACGCGTACCAAGGTACACCCGAGTTCCGGGGCGGTTCTCACCGCTCCCAGCCACCGATTAGGTAATTGCACAGTCGACGGCCATCGGGGTTTCGGTCCGAACCGCGACCTCGATGGCCCTTAGATGACACACCATACTTAAACGCACGCTTGAGCACATGCGTGGCCCTACCCACCGGTTCTGCGTCAGATGAAGCTTTAATAGTCTCGGGACTGAAAGCACAACCATCAGTTAATACAAGCTTTCGAAAGAGAGCGTATTCTTTCCTCATAGGCCGGCGAAGCATTTGTGAATCAATCGTGAAAAATTACAACCAGGTGGTCCGCCTTGCACGTCATGCCAAATACCGTTTTGATTGTTCCTACTACCATCGCGGAAGTAATGAAACTATCCCTGAGGTCGCAGAAAGTCAAAAAAATCTTCACAGGAACCTTCCAAATGAAGACGTCCGGGAAGCCAAAAGGGGAAAGAGGCCATGACCTCTTTAAAAATCATCTGAGTTTCACATTTATGCAAACTTATTCGGTTTATTTATTTTTATGGTGATAACAAAATTGTTGCTGGTGGTTTAGTCCTCGTATACAGATTCCTACAGAAATGCGTAAGCCTTAACTGTCAAGTAAAGAGTCTAAGGACCCTTAACAAAGGACCGTAATTATTCGAGCGTTTTACTAACTCTTTAAATATGACATTTGTCTGTGTTGTAAATAACAATTAAAACTTACAACATGACTTTTTTTCCCTACTAATACCCTTAATAATATTACATTTAGTCATCTGCGAGATATTCTGTCGCGGGCAGCAGCTAGTCCTTACTAATATTATAAACGCGAAAGTTTGTATGTATGGATGGATGTTTGTTACTCTTGCATGCAAATACTACTGAATGGATTTTAATGAAACTTTACAAGATATAGCTTATACATCAGAATAGGACATAGACTATAATTTATGTACATATTTTTATGTATATCTGTCTTTCTCTGAATGTTACGCCTTCAGCCTATTCTACGGAGACGTAGTCGCGGGTAGCAGCTAGTCTATACAAATAAATAAAATTGAAGTATCTGTTTTTAATATTAAAATAACCGCGTTTTACTAAACACTTATGGATGTATACACGGTACTTAAACCAAAATAAAATTTTTTACAAATTTTGTCTGTCTGTCTGTCTGTTTGTTCCGGCTAATCTCTGAAACGACTGAACCAATTTTTACGAGACTTT